CATTGTCATAGGGCAACATTTGTAGTAACTGTTAAATGAGAAACTATTTTGTTCTGTAAGTCTTCATCTTAAGTGAGAATAACAGCACAATTCAAAGAGCATAGTCGATGTCACTGAACTGTGCATGTACAAATTTTTGAAATGGTGTATCTTTGACTATGTGTATCTTCAAAAAAAAAAAGGTTGAGAAGTTAGAGGGTTAATAAGTTGTGGGGTTGTTAACCAATGTCATAAACAACATGTGTACTACTGTTTCATGAGAAACTATTTGTTCTGTAACCCTTCACCTGAAGTACAATAAAACATAAACATAAAATAATGTCTCAGATCAGGAGGAAAAAAAGACCTTTAAACACACAGTCTAAAATAGGGATATATCGCATTATTTCCAGTTAACTGCCCTGTCTAACTTGTGGAAGCCACCAGTGCTTGCAACTCTTCTGCGGTCTACTGAAGCTTAAACAAAGAAGTAGCCACCATTGTACCCACAGCGACTGAGAATACAGAGATAAAACAAACTGCTGTCAACACTAGCCCTCACTACGCAGCTTTTCACACTGTAGTATTTTTTTTCTGTATCCTCCAGGAAGAGAACCAAAATGAGTTTGCTTTCATCTAACAAGGAGTGCAGTACACCATTACTGCCTATGGTAGGCAGACTTCTAGGATAGACTCAAACAATCCCCCCCTCCTGGTATGCAAGCTCCTGTATAACCTCTTCCCCTTGAGAGTGTCCTAAACCTATACTCAAGTGACTTGCTTCAAACAAAAAGAATATAGTAAAAGTCACAGAATGTCACTTCTATAATTAAGTTATAAAAGACTGTGACTCTGTCTTGCTAGCACTCTCTCTGTTGCCTTCTTGCCTCACATGCTTTGATGAAGCAAGCTGCTTTGTTGGAGAAGCCCACATAGCAAGGAATTGAGAATGGCCTCCAGCCAACAGTCAGCAAGAAAGGGAGGCCCTCAGTCAAACAACCTACAAGGAACTGAATCCTGCCAAAGGCCACAGGAGCTTGGAAATGGATCTCTCCCCAGTCAAGACCTGAGATGACTACAGAGGACTGCAGCCCAGCCAACACCTTGAATGCAGCCTATGGGAAACCCTGAAGCAGTGGACTATGGGAAAAAGCGATGGACTAAGCCAGGATTCCTAACTGAGAGAAACTGTGATATAATAAATGTGTGTTGTTTTAAGCCACTAAGTTTTAGAGTAATCTGTTACATAGCAATAGATAACTAATTTGCTTCCCAAAACTGCCAAAAATTTGTTATCAGTCCGTGAACCAAACATAGCACAAAGTCAAATGTCCACTTGGGTCTATTATATTTATGACACTTTGATAATGGCCTCTACCAATAAAAATGTTTGCATTTTCACGGCTTCCAAGCACAACAAGCCAAAATGAATAGGTCTTGAACTATGACAATATTCAAGGCCATGTGACCAAGTGACCTTCTGAACAGCTATTTGGGTAACAGACCAAAGAGACATTCATTTAAAGCCAGTCAAAGACAAATTGCTATGACCACCAGTTACCAGAAAAGGAGAAACAATCCCTAGTAGGCCTCTTCGGATTTTTTAAACAGCATGTTCCACAACTAGGAATTTTTCTTAAAGCCTCTATATCAAATCACCAGATGAGCAGGTAAATTTGGGTAAACCACCACCCCCACCCCCCACCCCCAGCAAGAAGCCTTGGAAGCATTTCAGGCAGCATTAAAACAAGGTTTCCTATTTTCTTCAGTTACCACGGAATTGCAGGTATCTGCAACCAATATTGGGGTCTCAGGGTGATGCAGTTAATATGCTTGGGTGCTAAAGGAAGGGTTGGAGGTTCAAGCCCACCTAGAGGTACCTTGGAAGAAAAGCCTGGCAATCTACTTCTGAAATATCAACTATTGAAAACTCTATGGAGCACAGTTCTACTCTGACACATATGGAGCCACCATAAGTCAGAGTCCACTCCATGACAACTGATTTTTGGCAACCAAGATCACACCTGATTAGAGCCTTCCCAATAAGACTCACCGATGCTCTCTAGACCCTAAGCTTTTGGATAAAAAAAGTTGATCTAATTTCTGAGTGCAACTACTAACTGTGCCCCAAAGGAGAATGATCATCTCAATAAAAGAAAAAAATTACTCTAACTGGCCTTCTCTGAAATAAAATTCTATAAATTGGGCCAACAGTCAAAAGAATCCATTGTAAAATGAATTTGGCAATTTTAACCAAGGGTCAGGAGTCCCTGGGTGGTGCAAACAGTTAACATGCTCACTAATAACCAAAAGGTTGGAGGTTCGAGCCCACCCAGAGGCACCTCTAAAAAAAGTCTTGTCAATCTACTTCTGAAAAATCAGCCACTGAAAACCCTATGGAGCACAGTTCTACCCTGACACACAGGGTCGCCATGAGGTGGAGTCGATTTGATGGCAACTGATTGAATGCTTGATTGGTTGGTTAAAACCAAGGATCAAACCCGGCCCCTGAGACCTTAATCAACTTCATGAACAAGTGACTGCACACCTATTAAACTACTGTTTTACCTAAACAGATGTCCCAGTGGAAGCATTGTTCACAAGATTTCCCACCTAAAAAGAAAGCATTGTTCAATGACGAAAGAGCTTGCCTCTGTAGAATATCATAGCAATCAGTCATAATGATCGTAAACTGCAAATGACCCACAGCATTGGTTGTCCTGCACAAGGGCCTAAACTGTAGGTGGTGCTCCTGGCCACAGAGCATATCACAGCAGAATCAACAGAAATACACTCTTACATGAATTTTAACATAAGAAAGTTATTTTCTCGTATCAAGCTAGAGTTAAAAATTAAAATCACTAAAAATTATTTTTATGAAATTAACTGATTTTTTCAACTATTTTACTTTTCACCATGACTTAGCTGTATGGTCAGCGCATTTGGTAACCCAGGACTGGTCTAATCCTTCTACAGAAACAAACACAAAAGCTTAAGTCACTAACTCGATCCTTATGCTATGCACATACATGCCTGCAGGAAATAACTAAGAAGAAAACACCAAGATTGAAAAAGCTGATTAAGCATGTATAACCATTGCATCCACTATAGTCCATCCAGTGGACTCATGCTCAGACCTACCACAGTAATGGAACTACCATAAAGGACGATGATACTCAACAAATTATTTGGACTCACAAAGAAGCTATTTTTATCCACAAAGCGTATACAGTTAGCCAATCACACTACCATCTCCAACAACAGCCTCTAGATGGCTGGTCTAGTTGTCTTCAGCTGTTTACAAGTTGCACCCTGACATAACCCTCTCTGCCTTAGCTAAGCTCTTAGGTACTCACAAGTCAGGAGGCAGAGACCAAGGAGCATTCAAGAAAGAAGAGTACACTTTTCTTTTTCTCTTTTTCTCCCCCCATTTGGTGTGCCTTCTTTGACCTCAGTGGATACATAGATCATTTAGTCAGGTTAGATCAAGAACAACTAGACAGGCATTAACTTCAATACTGCCTTTACCTCAGATAGTTTCATGGTCACCCTCCTCTGCCCCCAGGGGTGACTTATGATGACAAAATGGACACTGGATCCCTAT